CGCTGGCTGACGGTTTCTTTTTCCAGAAATTGAAATGAATTATTTGTCATAAGAATGAAAGAAAACGACGGACAAATCCTTGAGGCAAACAACAGCCTTATATTTTCTCATTTCTCTCTACTTTCTTTTCTGGGCCAACTCTTTCTCTTAGCGTGCTCACCACCACCCACCACCCACTTTTCCGCCTGACTTTGCATAAATGTAAACAGATTTCCCTCCCAGGACTCGGCAAACATTTCTCCTAAATTGAAAAGTAAAGCAAACAACTGATATATGTATAAAATATATATATATATATGATGGTATGTATATATCAGGCCAGCATCAGCATGTGCGATTTATATATATAACCTATACACCTGACTTATAATCGGGCATCAGCCTACAGATTAGAGATCTCTCCCCAGGCTCTGAGTGGAGCCCTTATCTGGCTGGCTTTCTAGTTATTCTAGTCGAGATTTTAGACACTGAGAGAAATAAGGGTGCTTCTGGAAATAAATCTAGTTTATGAATATTTTCTTGAAATTCCCACAGGGCGGATACTTGATTTTCTTTTAAAAAGAAAATAATATTTCAAATGCCCTCTATATTTTTAAATTTTATTTTTTCTTTAATGTCTATAATTTTTATAATATTCCTACTGAAGGTCCTGCTTTATATATTCTTTCTTGAATATATGGAAGTTTTTTTTTCTGATTTTCAAACTCCTACAGGGCGTATACTTGATTTTCTTCCAAAAAGAATATTTTAATAATTCTTCATATTTATAAAAAAGAAAGAAAGAAAGACATTATTCATACGCCCTGTAGTCCTCTCTAATTTTTTTAAAATTATTCTTCTTATTTCTATAAAATTTCTATAATATTTGGAAGTTAGTTTCTTGATTTTGAAACTCCAACAGGGCGGATACTTAATTTTCTTTTTTAAAAAATACTTCCTACGCCCTGTGGTCCTCAAAAATTATTAGATTAAATTAAATATTTATATTATATCCCCTTCTCAAAGCCACAAGTCCTATTTAAAATCGTTTTGGCAACAATTCTTTCATTTTATATATAAAAAAAAAAAACAAAACAAAAAATGCCAACTAGGCGGCTACTTGATATTTCAAACAATTTCATACGCCCTGTGGGCTTTTCCTTTTATTTCTTGTTTTACTTTTTTCAGCAATAATATTTTTATTAAAAAAAAAGCATTCGAAAGGCAAATAAATAAACAATAAAATGGAAAATATTTTTAAAATCCGATAGAATTTTTAAGGAATGCCCAAGGCATGTTTGAACATGAATCAGTCTAGTATTTGGTATTTTTTTGTATTTTTCTTCAACTGTAAAAAGTGTGTTGATTGTGCAATTCTATAAAAAATAAAGAAGAAAAAAAAATACCAACACCTAGAATTATTTATGACAAACACGTTGCCAGGTGGATTTTGTTAAAAAAAAAGAGAGGCCATCATTTGATATTCGAGGCGAGTCGATTAGATTCAGATTCCTGAACATACAAGCACTATTTCGATATGTTTTTGTTTCTGTTTCTATTTGAGTTTCTGTTTCAGTTTCCATTTCGATCATTAACACTACTGGGCGCAATTGTTATTTCGAATTCGTGTTTATTGTTTGGCAGCCCGGCCCGACCGGCCTTAATGGGAATTGTGCAATCGAGGTTTTGTTTAGACAGAGTTGCAATGTTTACGCTATAGACCTGTTGGTACACACATATGTATAAGGCTTGCTGTTGGTGGTTTTGCAATTTAATTTTAATTCAAATATAGAAGAATATTAAATGATAATTAGAATTAATTAATTATTCTGGCAGTTTCATGAAAGTTGATTTTTTTTTATGAGTCTTTCTCTCGTCAACAGCTCTTGTCAGATTCTTGAGCTTCCTCCCCTGACTTTTCTCGAATATTTTCCTTTATTTTTCCCCTCATTTCTTTTGTCTTGCTGGCGTTTAACATAAATCCCTGGCACGTGCTGCATTTGAGTTTTATTTGCATTCTAAAAATTCTATGAAAATGGAAGAAGATCTCCCGCCTCAGGAAAATAGAAAAAGGTAGTAAACTCTTAATCGCTGTTCCTGACTTTAATGAGGGAGAGGGAGGGAGAAAAGTATTATGAAGAAAACTATCAACTATCCATTTTTCTGGGCATTTCTGAAAATATGAAATAAATTATTTAAGTCCGGAGGGCAGAGAATGAGAAAAACTTTCAGATTGATGATGACGATTGCATTAAGGATGAGTTGTCTTCCATTAGAATTCAGTTGTGGTTTGCCTTTCAGCAAAAGTTCAGGAGAAAAAAAAAACAGAGGGGGGTGGGGGAGGATGCATCGTAATGCGGTGAGAACTGAGAACCGGAAGAAAGTAATACATTCACCTTAAGTAACCCGTAAAGGGAATCACGTAAAACCGAAACCAGCAGCAAAGTTCTGGACATCATTGCGAATGCATCAGGCCGCCGGGTCGATGAGGACACTACTCTCTGCACTACCACCCTCCCTCCCCTTGACAAAGACAAGCCCAGACGGAAATGGCGAAAAGGACACGTGTATATATGGCCATACAACCTGACAACCTGACTACTATACATGTGGTGGCACTGTTTTAACCCTCTGAGTCTGAGTGGGGCGGGGATTTTCTTTTAATCATTTAAATACTGCCCGGTTTCAGGCATTTTTTTATCCTTAAGGATTATCCTTAAGTTTCGATAAATTATGCTTACTTTTTTAAGGTTTAAGGTTCGAAACTCATAGATAAAGTAGAGGTTTTTTTTAATAGAAAATATTATCCGAAAATGCCTCACAGAAGGAGAAGGATTTCCTCCCTTACTCCATAAAATCCTTAAAAAATGGAAACAAACTAATCTAAAAAAAATCTAAATAAAGGTTAAAGTTTGAAACTCATTTCATATTTTCTATCATTATTTTTTATTTTTTTTTATGTCAAGTCTATTAAAATCTTGATTTATTTTTAATGAGAAAATTAACCCAAAATTTTCCTAAAATGCCTCATAAAATGCCTCTCTACAACTAAGAACTAAAAAGGGTTAAAAGTTCGAAACTCATTCCATGCCTCAACATATTTTTATTATTATTATTTTTTTTTTTTATAAATCCTTATTAATTTTTAATGATAATTATCCCAAATTATCCCCAAAAACCACCACAAACTTATCAGTTTTTTTTTTTTTTCTAAAAACTAAAAAAGGGTTAAAATTCCAAACGCATTCTATGTCCCTACATTTTTTTTAGTTTTTCTTTTTTTTTTTTTGTTTCGAGTTCTAGGATACGGGTGAAACTCTGCGGGATGTATGAAAACATAGAAATGTGGGCCAGGAAGACTAGGGACGAGCGGCTACCGAGGGGAGGGGGGGCCAGCGGGGAGTTTCGGTTTCAACCGAAACCGACAAAACAGTTCCGGTTCAGTAGACTCTAAAGTGATTGCGGCGACACAACGGGCGGGCATAGCCTTGGTGCTTGCTCCTCCTCGACGGGCTGTTGTTGGGTTGGGAGGACGCCCTCCTTGGCCTCGTTTGGTTTGTTTTTGGCCCCCAGACTGCCTCCACTCCCTGCTTAATGGTCAACAATGTGGTTGTAGGATTTTCGGCCTACTCCAAAGGACGGCTTACACCACCACCACTATCACCACAGCCTCAGCCACAGTCGGGCCATCGCTAAAGCCCATCGGCTGATTGCAAGCCCATCAAATTTGTCGTCACAGTTCTTCGGATCGTGAAATTAATCTGACCCTTGGGTGGTACTATACCTATACATATATACATAGGTGTGTGTGTGCTTTTGGTTATGTAAGGAATGCAACGACGGTGACACAAGAACGGGGGACGGAGGGAGGTGGGCTTTGAACCGAACCACTTCTTAAACTAACCGGTTGTTTGAACGACTCGGAAACCTGTTCACTAAGCGGTTTTAATTAGGGTTCAAACCAGAAACCCAACACTAATCACATGCTGTTTGGTTCAAGCACTAGTTATAGACTAATGCTATAATCAAAAGCTATAAAAAGCCGATCTTTTTGGGGGGTTATATATTTGAGGATTTGGGAGGAGGTACTACAAAGTACTACAATTCAAGGTATCCCATCAGGAAAAATAGAGAAAAAATCTGAAAAATATTTTGTCTCTGGATTTTGATGCAGAATGGTGGAGAATCGATCTAGGAATCGTTCAAGGTACTCCGCTTGAGAATCGGATGAGAATTGGGGAAGATATAGCCATCGCAGTGGGCCCAATAGGGGAAAACCCCATTTTGAAGGGATCCCATCAGGAAAAATGGACAAAAAATCTAAAAAATATTTTGTCTCTGGATTTTGATGCAGAATGGTGGAGAATCGATCCAGAAATCGATTAAGGTACACCGCTTGAGAATCGGATGAGAATTGGGGAAGATATAGCCATCGCAGTGGGCCCTATGGGGGAAAACACCATTTTCAAAGGGTCCCGTCAGGAAAAATGGAGAAAACATCTAAAAAATATTTTGTCTCTGGATTTTGATGCAGAATGGTGGAGAATCGATCTAGAAATCGTTTAAGGTACTCCGCTTGAGAATCGGATGAGAATTGGGGAAGATATAGCCATCGCAGTGGGCCCTATGGGGGAAAACACCATTTTCAAAGGGTCCCGTCAGGAAAAATGGAGAAAACATCTAAAAAATATTTTGTCTCTGGATTTTGATGCAGAATGGTGGAGAATCGATCCACAAATCGTTTAAGGTACTCCGCTTAAGAATCGGATGAGAATTGAGGAAGATATAGCCATCCCAGTGGGCCATGTGGGGGCCTATATCCTATAGCTTCCATATAACGAAACTATCGGAAAAAGGTATTTGGTATTTGGTAAAAATATTTTAAATAAGATAATAATTAAAATATCGATAAATTGCGATATTATTTGACTTAGATTTCGATAAATTTCGATTAATTCAAAGTGCCATCTCTAAAACCCGATTTCTAATCAAAATTAAAATTATTTTCGTTTTCATTACAGCTGCCAGTACTATGTGAAGAGCCATCCATGGGTGCTGGCCTACCAGGGCGTCATCACGTTCTTCGTGCTGGCCAACTTCACACTGGCCACGTTCATGGACCCGGGCATCATCCCCAAAGGTATGTAACGTGCTGAGCATTGACCAGCGTCCCCGCCACGGCCTAAACTTGACCAAATTCTAGCCTCGCCCGACGAAGACTGCGAAGAGGAGCTGCGCGCCCCCCTCTACAAGAATGCCGAGATCAACGGCATCACCGTCAAGATGAAGTGGTGCGTCACCTGTAAGTTCTATCGCCCGCCACGCTGCTCCCACTGTTCAGTCTGCAATCATTGTATTGAGGTTAGTATCTTAACTAAATCTTGGTATTAGACGCCACTATAATACTTCCATATAACCTTACAATCTTCAGACCTTTGACCATCACTGTCCGTGGGTCAACAACTGCATTGGCAGAAGGAACTACAGATTCTTTTTCTTCTTCCTCGTATCCCTCTCCATACACATGCTGAGCATATTCTCGCTATGCCTGGTATATGTCCTCAAGATAATGCCAAATATCAAGGATACAGCGCCCATTGTTGCGTAAGTTTCTCTAATAATCGAATCTAATAAAATATTTAATTGAATTATTGCCTTTATAGGATGATCCTGATGGGCCTGGTCACCATTTTGGCCATCCCCATATTCGGCTTGACGGGTTTCCACATGGTCCTGGTGTCCAGGGGTCGCACGACCAACGAACAGGTCACCGGAAAGTTCAAGGGCGGCTACAATCCCTTCTCACGTGGCTGTTGGCACAATTGTTGTTACACGCAGTTCGGACCACAGTATCCGAGGTGAGTTTTTTATTTTTTTTTTTTTTTAATTTATTAAATATTTAAAATATTATACTTAACATAATTTTATATGTTTTTATATAATTTTTTTGTTGGTTTTTTTTTTATTAGTCATTTATTTTTATGAAAAGCCTTGATGGTTAATGAAACATGAAAATGTTAGTCATTTAAAAATAATACAATTGAGAGCACACACTTGCTTTAAATTTCAATTTATTTAAACCTAAACTTTAGTTTATATTTTATTAATTTTTAAACAATTATATTACACATAATGTTACAGAAGCACAATTTATTTCCTCACTGGAATTCAATTTTTGTTTACTTTATTAAGTTTATATTATAAACAAAATTGAAGGCAATCGTTCGTATAAACAAAGACATTGGTATTTTGAATTAAACACATACATATATTTTACAAACAATATATAACTATTTATTTATTTTTATTTTTTTTTTTAATCGCAAAATACTTCTATCTTGATGTTAAATGTTATAAAATGATAATATTATTTAAATCCATTGCATAGACATTAATTTAAAAGTTCAGAAAGAAAAGAATGGCTCTGGTTTCTTAAAAAAACTAATCATACCCAAAGAAAAATATAAAATTTCAGTCTTGAAATAAGTCTAAAATAAAGTTTTTTATTTTTCTAATTTTCAAAACTACTTTAAATGGTAGTTAGAATAGTAATACAGTACTTTAAACTAGTATAGTAACTTAATTATATTATTTAGTTATATATGTATATCCAAAATTATATACATATTGTTTCAAGTTAATTATAATTAATTTCAAGTTAAAATTATAATTACATTTCCTGTCATCATCCTCCCCCACAGCCTGCTGAACCCAAAGAAGTATGCGTCGCGTCGCTCCCAGACCCAAAACCAGGCGATCAGCACGATCTGCAACGACCGGAGCAGCCAGCAGACTGGCGCCAGCGGCGGTGCGGGCGGTAATGGTACTACTGCCGCCGGTGGAGGCGGTGCCGGTGGCGGCAGCGGCGGTGGAGGAGGCGGCGGCGGCGGTGGCGGTATGCGCGGCACTGCGGTGCAGTACTCGCCACGCTCCTACTACGATGCGAATCGCGAGAAGCGGGGAATACAGGTAAAGACTTATATGGCCGAGGGCAATGGTTATAATCAACGGTCGGGCAGCACAACGCTTTACAGTAAGGTGGGTAAAAAAACAAAACAAAAAAAATAATCAAGATTTTTGCATTTAAAAAAAAGAAAAGAAATCATAGAGAAAAGCGAAGCATTTGCTATGCAAAACTCAGATTCCTATTACATATATCTATGTATCCTATATCTATATTTGTAATCTAATATCGAATCCCTACATAGTGCTAAGCAGGTGGCGCCACAAAAGCTAATGATAGACGGAACTTTTATATAAAAATTAAAGAATAAGATTAAAAATAATTTAAGCTTTAGACTTCTATTAAAATTCGCTATTTAAAGCTTAAAAAAATAATTTAAAAAATATTTAAGAAAGAAAAATTATTAAAAAAGGCCATTCTGAGGCCCTTTAATTTAAAATCCTGTCAAAAAAAAACCCTTTAAAGACTTGCTTACATATTTGGCTTAAATATAATTTAAATTCCATTTTATTTCCATTTATTTATTGAGAAAAAAAGAGATGAAAACATCCTCTGTGAGAAAATAATAAAATTTCGAATCTGAAAAATAGATGGAAGCTATTGTCTGGCGCCACCTGTTGTTGTTGTTGTTTGGCTTAGCTCATGTTTGTTGTAATTTGTAACTTGTGTTGACTTAACTGTAATTGTAACCGTTAACAGTTGTTTGTTTACATTTGTATTTCTTATTTATTTGATTTTTGTTTTTCATTTTTCATTTATTATTTTTAATATTTTGCTTTAATATAAACATTGTATCTCTTTCTCTTTCTGTTGCTATCTCTATCTCTTAGTTCTGTGTGTTTTTTTTCTGATTTATCTTTTAGTTTTATTTTCTCTCTGTATTTACCTTTATAGTTTTTCCGATTTTTCCTTTTGCTCTCGAATTCGTATGATTTATCATTAGCTGTAATCCCATAATGCTCCTCCTTCTCCCTCACTCCAAAAACACCATCCACTCACCCACCACCCCGCTTAATGCTTTGACTAATTAACTACAAAATCGATATAATTATATACATATATATACATGATATATATAGACATATATACCATCTAATAGTATACTCTATAGAGCTTATGTGAGAAATCTCTTAAGTATCTTTGTGTTGCTTTCGGTTGTCATTGTTGTTGTTGCTTCTTTTTTGCTATTATTGTTGTTGTTGTTTTTTCGGCGTGGGTGAAATAAAAGTTTTTCTTAACCCCCTCCAAGACACCTCCCCCCAAAATGCTCCACACAAAAACAAAAACAAACACTACAACCTTCAAGCTCTCACAGTTTGAAAAAGAAACTTTTTTTTTTTTTTGGCTGCCGCTTTCATTCATCTTGTTCTTCTTCTTAACGCTTTTCCCTACTCCCTGCTGCTGCTGCTGCTGCAGTTTTTCCACCCACACACCAACTCCTCTTCAGCACTCTTTCTTCCACTTCGTATATATATATTTTTTTTTGTGTGAGGCTTAGTTAGTTATTTGCCACGCCTATTTAATTGAAGGACAAACCAGCCCAATGATGCACTGTAAACACCCCCACTGACTCACCCCCACACTCACTCCAACACCCACACTCAGTCACTCGGCCAAACTTTCGTAGCCCCCCTCGTTCCCTACTCGAAACCATTGTAATTGCCTTCCACTGTCCTTGACATCTCGTTAAATAGCTGCAGCGACTACTGTGAACACTCCCTAGGACGAACAGTCAGCCAGTCGAACTGAAGAAAGTCAAGCATTCAAGTTATCAAGATTTCGTCTATTTTTTAGTGTAACTCTCTTAATGTAACCCACTTTTTAAGTGTCTATAAAATATATATTTTGTGAATAAATATTTTTCGTTAATTTTAAAGCTAAAAAAATATATTTTTTTTTATAAAAGTTTTTTTTATTGGAAAACTTGAGGAATATTTTTCATATTTGATGTCCGTCTATGCATTTTTTCCAATAGGAACATGACAAAAAAAAAGTTTAATTTGTTGAAAATAAATAAATTAACAATTTTTATCAATAAATACTATTTTTGAAAAATATAATTTTAAAAATAATAAAAAAAACGAATATTTTTCAAGGATCAATAATAATTTCTTTTCTTTAAATTAGAGTATGTATTGTTATTAAAAACACCTGAAAATTCTTTATTTAATTCAAAAAAAAGTTTTATTAAAAAAATTAAAAAAAGATTAAAAGAAAAAGGTCCCTTTAACTTCAACAATAATTTCCAACTCAAATCTACAAATCTGCTTCCAACTTTTAGCAAAATCCTCTTAAAAATTAATTATATTCTTTTGCTGATTAAGTCGCCACCTCGACTGAAAATGGATAAAATGCAAAAGCTAAATAGTTTCCATTTTTTTTTCATTTCCCATTTCCTTCATTTACAAAACTTTCCACGAGAAAAAACAGGGAAAGAAACTTTGGAATAACCAAAGTTGTATTATTATTGGTTGTGTTGTATATTAATTTTTCCCCCTTTTAGATTCGGAATTTTCCTTTTTTTTAGTTGTTGCCCCGCCCCTTCACCCCCCTCCCCATTTTATTGCCACAATTTGTTGTAACCAAAGTGTATTACTTTGTATGCATGCGGATCGGAATTGGATTGGATTTATTGAGTTACTGGTTATCAGTTATCAGTTGCTGGTTTTTCCGCTACTTTATTTGCGTTGCATTTCCTTGCTATTTTCCTCGCCACCCCCCACCCCCCTAACTCTGTCTCTCAACTGGGCCACAGTTATAACTCCTTAATTTCCGTTACCCTGTTACTCCGTTTACCGTTATTCTGCGTATATATATATATATATAGAACTTCTTTGTATCCCCCCAACCCAACCCCACCTCCCACTCCCCCCAGAGCTGTTGTTATATCTTATATAGAAAGTATATAGCATACATACTTATATCGAAAAGAATTGGTCGCATCTCCAACTCAAAAAAAAAAAAAAAATTTAAGAGCAAAAAACAACACTTACTGCAAGCACCGAGAAAGGTAAAAGATATATTAAACAAAAAAAAAAATCAAATCCTTAAAACAAAGCAACGAAAACTTTAATTTTTTTTATTAATTTTCCATTTAATTATTGACTTGCCCCACCGAAAAGAAAATTAATCTCAATAATTGTTGTCTTATGATTATTATCTATTTTTGTCGAAATTCTATTCTATTTTTTCACACTTTTTCTATGAAAAATATTTATAATTTTTTAAAATTTAATTTATGCCTTGCTCTCTCACTTTTAAACACTATCTCTCGCTCTGTCTCTGTCAGTCCGATTTTTTTTACTTTAATATGTCTATGACTGGGAAAAATATAGTTTTTTTAAATCTAAAATTAAATCAAAACTATTTTAAGAAATTTTTATTTCTTTATTCAATTCTTTTTTATTTATTTATTTTATTTTATTTTAATTTTTTTTATATTTTCCATTGAATTTTGTATTATTTTATATATTTTTAAAATTCTTTTATTTCTTTTTCCTTTTTTTTTATCCTTTTCTGACTTTCTCTCACTTATTTTTCTTTCCCTTTTTCGCTGATTCTTAATTCGAAAGTTAATTACTTTGTGGAAAGTTCTTTCACTTTGGACTTGCCACCATTTGGGGCACCAAGTATATGCATTTTGTCTACAATTAGCTGTGGGGTATCTGTCCCCCCCAAAAACCGTCCCCCCTTACAACTACTACTACTACTACACCCCACTGTCAAGCAGTTTCCTACTTTCTTCCACCCTCACTCGCTCTCACCAAAAAAAAAAATAAAAATAAAATAAAAAAAAAAAATAAAGGAAAAATCATTTCCCACGCCCTGTTTTTTTTTTTTTCATTTTTTTGTTTTGATTTTTTTTTATTTTAATTGTTTTCTTTTCATTTTCCTGTTTTTCCATTTCATTTCGTTTATTTTCACCTGTCTTGCGGGATTCTCATTTTCACAATATACTCTAAAATTTAATTATTAAATATAATTATAAATTATAAAATTTTTTTTTTTTTTTTTTTTGGGAAAAAGTAAATAAACTTAAATGGCAAGAATATGAAAATGAAAATCCTTTACATTTCTATTTTGATTTTTTGGACATGAATCGCAACTAAATGTAGGCCTAAGTCTGTGTCTCATCTTAAATAATTCCCATTATTTTAGCTTCCCTTTCAATCGATGGCTAATCAATTTTTTTTTTGTTACCCTTCCACACAGCTATCGCCGGGACGTGAATGCTCCGACACGGATCTGGAACCGCCACCCGCCTCCCAGAGTCAAGACTGCGAACCCACACCACCCCTGCAGCGCCACAATTCGAGCAGCTTCTACCTGCCGCAGGTGAGCGATGCTGGCGGCCTTAATGGCAGCATTTCGACGGGTGCGGGTGCTGGAGGTGGTGGTGGCACCGGCAGTGGAGGTGGCGGCGGTGGTGGCGACTCCCCGCGGCACATGCGTCTCTATCATCCGCGACACAGTCCGCACGCGAGACCCAGGTGAGTTAATTAACCCCCTCCATTATCGTCCTGGCTAGTCCAGTGGTCAGTCAGGATGGTCAGTGTCGTCCAGTGTTTCCTACAATGTCCTGTCCTGTCCTGAGCAACTTTGGCGCCTAATTCCATTTCGATTTATGGCCACTCTTCGCTAATAAATGGTGAGAGCCACCCATTAAGTGCTTACTTATAAATAAACTATCAAAAAATTAAACGCCATCATATATTTTAAGAGGAGAACTGAAAGGGAGGATGGGGGATAGTGCAGCATATCACGTATACGACCTGATGGCATGCCATTTAGGGGTTTCTTTATTTAGATTTATGTTGAAAGGGGAGAGTTATTATTAAGAGCAAGTAATTGAGTATTTTTCAAAGTAATTTATAAAGCTTTTTATTTGCTTTTAAATTAATAATTTATAGCACTTTTTTTAAGGTTATATTTTTAGAATAAAATTATACAAAAATCAAGTATACGCCATGTTGGATCTTAAAACTAACTATTAGCTTTTCTTTAATTATTCTTTTCAATTATAATTCTTCTAGGGGTCTGGATCCTCAACGCGGCTATACGAGTGATGCCCTATCCCCGGATCATCCTGTAGGATATGGCGTCGGCGTCAACGGACCGGCGCAGCAGCAGCAGGCGGCGCTGGCAGCGGCAGCAGCGGCGGCGGCGGTGGCAGCACAAAATCAACGCAACGCAACTACCACAGCCACGCCCACCATGCAGCAAAGGATCAAGCCGCTGGGCGTTGCCACGCCCCTTGTTATGGCTAGTCCAGTGCGAAGGTAAGTCCATCTATCTCTCTCTTATCTTACCCTATTCGCCATCTCTATCTCTCTGTCTGTCGGCGGATACTTTGCATAAAGATTTATTTCTCTCATGTGAATGGATTACCCCCCCCCTTTGTGTAGCTCTAAATCAAATGGATCCTGCCTCCTTTTAAGCCATGACCTTGCTGTTGTTGCTTCTATTCTGTTGTTGTTGTTGTGATTATTTGGTTGCTTTTGTTGTTTATTATTTGCTTTATTTTAGTTTAAAAAAAAAAAAGGATATTTTAAAAGGTTAAAATATTTGATTAAAGGATAGATTAAATATTAAATATTTGAAAGAACATTTGAATAAGAAAATAAAATAGCCACTTTCTTTTTATTTTTTTAAAACATAGATTCTTTTAAATCTGTGTTTTTAGAGCATAAAGCTAAAAGATTATTTATAAACATTTCTTTCGTCACCAACAAAATATCAAATAATTAAAGAGTAGAAGGAGCATTCGTCACTGGAGTTACGTGAGAACAGAAAATAAAGTAGCTTTTCCATTAGTTGTTTTTTAGATGCTTAGTTTTTACAAAAATAAAAAAAAATATTTAAACAATGGGTAAACAATTTCTCTCGACACTAAAATATTAAAATATTAAAGAGTAGAATGAGCATTCATGACTGGAGTTAAATGAAAGGGAAAAATAAGCTAGCTTTTGTATTTTAATCTTTTACCTGATACAAAATATTTAAAATTTTAAAAAATGTGTATTTTTTGTGAAAAGATTTCTTTCGTCACCAAAATATCAAATATTTCAAGAGTAGGATGAGCTTTTTTTAACAGGGAATGAGTGAAAGAAGACCATAAGCCAGCTTTTTAGTATAAATTGTTTCTTAATTTTTTAATTTTTACAAAAATATTTAAATACTAATTAAGAAAGATTTCTTTCGTAACCTAAATATCAAATATACAAGCATTCGTCACTGGAATTTTATTATGAAGAAGTTTTAGATTTTTTTCTTATTTTATCTTAAAAAATCAGATTAATTATAAACCTTACTTAGTACTCTTTATTTACTATTGAAATATTGATGTAAAAAAATATTATTTTCAGTGTAGAATATTAAAAATTCTATTTACCAGCTTAGTCCCATCAAGAATTCACTTTTGGAAAGTATTTAGAATTCAATTTTCCATAACCAAAGTGAAAACTATTCCATAAGGGGGGTCCATAACGGGTTAAGTCAATGGGTGGGTGGGTGTTTGTATGGACGTATGTATGTGTGTTTGCCCTTTCACCAGCTTGTTGTGGTATTAGTAGTGGCCTCTGGGTTAAGCTTCACAGTTAGCCAGTTTGTTTGTTTATTTGGTTTGCTGCTTCGTCGCGTTCCATCAAGATGCTTAAACAATTTGTTAAATTAGTTAAATAATTAGGGCTACTAATTAGTAAAGATTAGTGATTAAAATTTTAGAAATTTAAAAAATTCAAGAAAAACTTCACTTTATTGCTCTCTCCTTTGCACTTTGGTGGCTCAGAGCGGGATGCCAATAGACATTGAAAGTAAAAGAGACAGCCTGAGGGTCATTAACCCCTCAGTGATGTTGCTCTCTCTTTCTGGAATTATATTTATTTCGCATTTATTGTCTCTTTCATACATTTCATCATGATTTTTTGTCCATTTTCCAAGAACTAATATGAAAATTAATTATATTTTCCCAACTTTTCTTTTTTTTCCCCCAAAAATCTTGATTTCTATGTCGATTTTCGAAGTCAATACTCAAATTCTGAGAACAGTACTAATTCCTAGGCTAATTCCTAAGCGAAAATCAGAAAAAAAGACCAAACCCAGAAGTCCAACAACGAAAAACCAAGAAACAAAACTAAAAACTATGAAATAGATATTATTACGAAAAAATATTAATACTAAAAAATAAAATTAAAAATTAGAAATAAAATTAAATATAATGTACAAGTTTAAAAAAAAATAGCAAAAGAAAACTGGATATCGAAAAGCAGAGGGAACAAAAAAAAAGAAACACTCACCGGAACAATTCTTCTTCCGTTTTGCCACTCTTGGCACTTTCTTTCGTTCGATTCTTCTCCGTTCTTTACTCTTTCTACGGTCTTTGTACAAAACCTCCTATCCTGGCAACCGTAAACCACACATCCGTAAAATCCGTAATATCCGATAGGCAATAGGCACCTTCTACCTGAGCACCTTCTACTTTCTTTCTGAAGCGCGAGGTGAGTTTGATTTACTTTCTTTCTTTCGTTTCGTTTCGCTTTCATTCTATATTCGTTGTTTATTTACCGTTTTCTGTTTCCGTTTTCCGTTCATTTTGGTTGCCGTTTTTCTTTTCTTTCTTTCTTTTGTTCTTTGCGTCCGCCTTTAACCCTTTCTCACACCCACAAACCACCCACACACATTTGCGCCATTTTTTAACCCCCAGGTTCTGGATTCTTCCATAAGTCCATATACCATTTTTTTATAGAAGACTCGTATCTCTCTCTCTCTGTTTCATATCTCTGTGGTTGGTTCTTCGCAACAAATCCATAATTAACTGCATTTCGATACTTTTCGATCTTCTGGTCTTAATACTTCGATAATAATCGATAACACATAATCGATGATGTTTTCATTTTATTTATATAGTTGGAAAATGGTTTAGATTTTGGTAATAATCTAAAATATTACTAAAAACTAATAACTTTGATAGTTTTTTTTTCTAATGGAAAGTTTTAACTTGTCGATCGATAAACGATTATAACGATAACTTATTGTAAATAGATTCATTCTTAAGTTTAGGAAATATTTAAGATCTTAGCAACCCAATGGCTTTGAAAATATTGTCAAAGTCCTCACAATATTATGGAAGCCTAGACTCACACTGTATACGTCGGACGGAACTCAGAATCTGGCTCTCGGAATCTCGTTTCAAATTTAGGGAACTAAAAAAAAATCAGAAAAAATTGTAATTGTGTAATTTGTGTATTTCTTTTTCAAATTTTGGCTATTTTTCCTCTTGCTCCGTCCGCGCATTAATTTTAAAAGAAAAACCGAAAAAACCCATTTCCCAAAAGGCATCTCAAGATTGGGTTGAAATCTAAACCGATTAATAGAATCGATATACCAAACTAATCGAAAAAGAAGGGAAACGACCTTATTCCTCGCATTCTTCCAAAAGTTTCAAGCCGTCTAGTGATCTAGAGAGAGGATAAACATGGAGCAAGTGCGCCCAAAGCAGCAGATGAACCGCCTGAATCTCCTGGACAAGACCCTGCCCATTCCGGTGGTCACGGCACCGCAGTTGCGTGTCCGCCGCCAGTTCAGCTTCAATGGGACGCGTTATGTGACGAGTGGTCTGCCCCCCAACAGTCAACAGCATCTGGTGAGGATCCGGGCAGGTCAGGAGGGAAGTGGGAGTGCCTATGAGGCCGCTGGTGGAGATAATTCGGATCTGAAAAAGCTACCCGGAGGAAGTAAAATTACTGACAAAGAATCAAGAGGTATGTCCTTGGAGGAGGTCTTCGAGAAAGAGGTGGCTGTGGAGAAGAGCTACCACCCAGACACGGAGCTCCAGCAGGTCAGCAGCTACGATCAGGCAGAACTGGAAGTAGAACAACCCCGTCGACGACGCACCAGAGTCCTGAAAGATGGATCTGGAGCCGGCACCAAAGTCTCGGGCAACAGGCCCCAACCGTATCCCCAGCGGGTGCAGATCTTCAATCCACAGCACCGCCCCAATCTGTCCCAGTCCGAGAGAAGTGCCAACCGGCCGCAACTCAACTCAAATCTAATGCCGAACCCTAAGACGCACCCACGAGCTCAGAAGCCACAATCGAATGCCGGAATCGTTAGTCCGCGTCCCCATCCAGTGGCGAGGCTGCCGCTGCAGCACATCGATGTGCCGGTGGCCGGCTCCAAGATGAACTACATCACCCTGGCCGGACTGGTGCTGGGGTGTCTGGTGTCCTACGCCTTGTGCTTCCTCTGCTGGTACTTCAGTTGGCTGAAGAACCGGGTGGTTGGCCTGAGGAAGCGCTTCCTGGGCCAGGCCAACCTCTGGCAATTCTTCGATCTGGAGGACACCACCCGATACTCGGTCCAGACGAAACTGATCCTGGCCCCGGCAATCGTTGTGTGTGCGCTGCTCTACGGCGTCGTCAACATGCTGCACTGGGTGGTGCAGGTGGTGCGCTCGGACGTACCACGCACTGTGGTGGTCTTTGTGCATCGGATGGCGAGCAGCGGCCTCCTGGCCAGCCTCACCACTGGCATGGGACTGGGCCTCGCCCACGGTCCCCCCTATCGCTGGCCGTAGTTCTCTTTCTATCGATAGCTTCCGATAGTATTCAGTAGATTCTATTATCCTGAAGAATCAAGAATCGAAGAAATTCTAGAGAATTACTAGATGGATTATTATTATTAACTGGAGAGCTACATACAATACCTCTCTTTGATATGGTCTCGCGGTCATTTGTCTATTTTTTGGTCGCTTCTCAATAAAATAATGTAAAGATCTCATGGTTTAGTTGAGTTATCGATAGTATAGGTCTTCAAATAATGGTTGTAGGTATGTGTTTTATTATTTTCGGTGGAAACTAATTGACACTTTTTGTCTTATCAGTAAAATTTATAACAAATACTTGGAGAAAAATCTAGAAACTATTTTTTTTTTGACAAAAGAAAGCAACGACTTTCGATATTTATCGATTTTTTGGATGCCAGTACTCTAAAAAGTGGAGTATTTTTAATAGTTGAGAGAAAAATAGTACTGTTTAAAATAGAATTCTAGTAGAAAAATAGATAGAAAAAATAGAACAAAAAAGTGATTTTAAAAAATATTTAAAATTATAAAAAATATCTTAATTAACTTCATTTCTAACCAATCTAAAAACGAAGCATTTTTTAACTAAAATATAATTAGACTAAACTAAAATATAATTAGTTTAGTTATAGGCCTTTAACTAAACTTAATTAAAGACTAAGGAGTGGATAACACAGTAACTACTACACTCGCCCTGCTTCCACATAGTGTTCTCGTTGTCTAACCCTCGATGGCTGGAGGTCATTATAATCTCATTCGCATCAGATCGACTCACTATATCTGTTCCTGTCCCTGTCGCTCATGCAACCGCAGCAGCAGCAGCTTTCGCGCCTGCCTGCCCTGCCTGCCCTCTCTGTCTCCCCCAGCATGCTTTCAATAATCTCCCCCCAAATCATGTGGCAACCATTACATGACTAATCCATTAATATCGTAATCCGTGTAACCCCCCAGATCCAACCCGGGCACGCCCACTCAGCCGCGACGCCCCGACTTCATTGGACTGAACGCTCAGGCGGTGGCACAGCAGCAGCAGCAACAGGCAGCAGCGGCAGCTGCAGCAGCGGCCTACTACGAGTACACGAGTGGCCTGCCGCCACAGCATCCGCAGGCGCCGAGCATCCAGCAGCAGCAACAACAGCTGCTCCTGCAACAGCAACGCGTCCTCATGCAACACCAGCAGCAACAGCAGCAAGGTGAGTCATAGCCCTCCTCCTCCTCCTCCTGTGGCATGGAAATCTATAACATTCTTTCTTTTTTTATGACAGCCCTGCAACAGCAGCAGCAGGTGGCAGCCGTGCATGCGGCGCATCCGCAGCACGCGTCCCTCGCCCAGGCGGCGTACGGTGGCAGTCCGCAACGGCGCTTCCTCTCCGAGGGCGAGCTGGTGCGCCAGGGGGCGGGCGGCGGCATTTCCGGTGGCGAGCTGAGCTATGCCCGGTCCAACAATACGGTGGACAACATCCGGGAGCTGGCCGGCAGTCCGCAACGGGGCGTCTACATGTGGAAGGACACATCGCCGGGCTTCGGCACTTCCGTGGCCGGAGGACAGCAGCAGCAGCAGCAACAGGTGGTGGCCAGCAGTGGCATCGGCAGCAGTGCGGGCACGCTGTCGAGCAGCGGAGGAGGAGTGATGCCACACGCCCAGTACATAACGGCCGGCGGGGGAACCCATCCGCTGATCATGACCCACTCACGCCTCCAGGACTACGCACTCCAGCAGCAGCAACAGCAACAACACCAGCAACAAGCAGCGGCCGCGGCAGCAGCAGCAGCGGCGGCAGCTTCCTCATATCATCGCTCCAATCCCACGAGTCCGACGACCATGCCCCAGGTCTCCGGAGCGGGTGGCCAGAGCTATATCCTGCGCTACGGAGGCGGGGGTGGCGGCACCGGAACCGGCAGCAGCGGCAGCCTGGCCAGCGTTACGGCCAGTAATCCGGTGAGCGGCGGAGTCGGTGGTGGTCCAGGCGGTGGTGGCTATCAGCCAGCTTTGCGCGGCGGTGTGGCTGTCTTCCCGCCCAATCCGCTGGGAAATTCCGGCGGCGGCGGCAATCCCCAGACCCAGCCATCGCCGCAAATCAAGCGAAAGCAAACACCCACGCGACCCATGAGCTTTGTGCGCGCCCTGGAGATGACCGACTCCATGGAGATGCAGTCTCTGGAGCAGCAGCAGCAGCAGCAGAACGGTGGTGTGCCCGGCATGAACACCAGCCAGCAGGGCGGTGGCAGTGCAGCACACTTGATGCAGAACAACTCATCCAATTCGGGCACTCCGGACAGGGCTAGCATTTACGACATGAACTACGAGATCTCCGTATAACCCGTGGTGGTGCCCGTGCTACTGATGCCACCTGCCTTGGCCGCCACAGCCACAGCCTCTGCCTCTACAAGTAGTCCAAATCCAGCTACAGTGGTGGCCACCTCCTCCTCCTCCGTTACCATGCAACAGGCAAAGTATTTCAATCAGCAAATGGAACCAGCCGCGTATGCTTCGGTGCCAGTTTTACCCCTCAAGACCATGACCAATGGCATTGCCGGAGGAGCTAGCCATGCACAGCCACATCCACAGCCACAACCACATCCACATCATCATCAGCACCAGCAGCAGCAGCCGCAGCACCACCTCCTTCAGCAACAATCCCAAAACAAACGAAAATTTTCAACATTTTTCTAGATAAGATTTCAATTCAAATCCCAGTTAGTTTTCTTTCTTTTCGGATATATATATATATATAACGAATATATATATATATATACATGTTATGAAATAGGTTGCAGTGCTGCACTAGTTTTCAAAATCATTTTTTGATATATTGTTTTTATTAATTTCTAACGAATATGATAATTTTTTTACGAATCGGATTTTAAAACGAAATGATTTCTAAAACAAAAAAAAAGAAAAAGAAACGAAAAAGTATAGAAATTGTACACGATCGCGAGAGATCAGGGCAGATACACATAGAACGGCCTTAAGAGCTCCAAGACTCTTAAACATTATACTCATGTCCTGTTGTGTATTTGCCCTGGACACCCCCCCATCTACCCACTAGCTATATCCTTTATACATATAGTACACACATATATGGAAACCTTTTGCAATCAATTTGAAAATCGCCAAAATTTGTAAGAGTTAATACAAAAAAAAAAAGAAAAAGAAAAACTAAAATACGAATACGAATTCAAAAATCGAAATCGAAATCATATACATTGTACGTGAGTGTTTCGGTGTATGTGTATGTGTGTAAGATTGTGCCAGTGTGTGTGCGTGTGCATCTGTATTTTCTAAGGTTTAGTCTTTATATATATTTATATCTATTTATGCCATATATGTATATGTATATAGCCCAGGTGCAGACAGAGAAATTTATATGTCATTCGTGTACATAGATGGAGGAGGAAAGTGAGTGTGCAAACGATCGGTCATCGAGTGCTGCGAGTATCTGTAAGATAGTATATACCTCGAGTACAGTGCGTTTCAAAAGCAAACCCCCAGTTAGTCATAGCTTTTGTACTCCATAACGTCCCTGTTTAAAAAGCGCACTGTGCTTGGAGATTACTCGACATATACTCCAGAAGAGATTGCATTAGTTATTACACCTATTGTTTAATTTATTTTTATTTTTTTTTCAATTTAAATTTTCATTTATTGTTTTTTTTTCGATCATACATATAATATATAGTGTATTTTATGTATATTTAGTAATCGTAAGTGAGCCCTAATCGCGTAACTTAAATGTCGTCCAATATTCAAATCAAATCATTTGATTTTCATGTACATAAGTGTATAATGAATGAGGATTCTTTGGTTCTAGCTTACCAATTACTTATGTACTATAGGGTACGGCTATATGTATATATATATATATATAAATATTTCTATCAATATTTATATTAATATTATATGTATTCCGTAAGCACCCAAAACTTTGTTGTTATGTTTTTAAGTGCTTTAGCTTTTACATCAAAGCCCCGATTGAGTGTTCGAGTGTGTGTGCACGTTTTTTTTTTTTTTAGAAAAATTTCAAAAAAAAATTCATTGTTTCATTTATATATTTTTTATTTTTTAAATTTTCTTAGAAATAATATCTGTAACATACACACCTGATCTACGAGGGCAACTCTATATGTGTCTGTATTATGTTTGTGTGCTGCTGCATCAGGCGATAGATCTAAATATATATATATCTATATATATGATCCACATAATCTATATATATATATATGTATAAGAGAAAGAACAAAATAACCTGGATAATCCCAAAAAAAACCTTTCCCTGATCAGATCACGAGAGTTTGCAAGGAACAAAATACTTGTAAAGACTATACGAAATATATAATGGATCAAGAGTATTTAGTATAAGCGTTTTTTGCTAACACATTAATTCATGAATTTGCAACAATATTTAATATACATAAAGAAAATGCATATACAAACAAAAAAAAAAAAAAAAAACACAAAACAAAAGCGAGATAAACGAAAAACCGAAACAAAAATGTAATGTAAAGTGTAAAAGGAGGAAAAGAGGATGAAATTGTTTTAGATTTTTATACCAAATTGATGTAAAACCACAAATTGCTTATTTTTTTGTATTCCTAAAACCTAAACCTCAACCTACAACCTTGACCCTCTAGCCCTAAGGGGCCACGACCCTGATCTCTTCAGGGAATGTGAGAAAATGACTCTAACAAAGTCAAAAAGCCAGAGAAACAACAATGTTTCAAGATGTTAAGAATATGCAAGATTCTTGGGTTCTGAAATTGTTTTTTTTTTTGTATTGAATACTTATGTAATTTGTAAATTATATGACAAGTAATCAAATAGCAAGCATAAACGGCAAGGCAATTAATAAATAATAAAAATTAAAGTACTCGTGTTTTTAATTTTGGGATAACGAATTTTTTATCGGATATATCGGACCAGAAATAGAGATTCCAGAGCCCATACCTCGACCGATCTGGCAACCCTGCGCATTTTCGGAATCAGCGCTCGATTGCCCATCGAACTGCATACCACGTTTTTCGATATCGAACAACTCATTTTCGACCGTTTTTTCGAAAAAATGGAAAGGCTAACCATCACGATTTTTTCCGATTTTGGCCGAAAAATTTTTTGTTCGATTTCGACGAAATTGGTATGCATTTCGATAGACTTTGGTGCGCTGATTCCGAAAATGCTAAGCGTTGCCAGATCGGACCACAAACAGCCGAGATACGGGCTCTAGAAAGCTCAATTCTGGCCCGATCTGGCAACCCTGCACATTTTCGGAATCAGCGCTCGATTGTCCATCGAACTGCATACCACGTTTTTCGATATCGAACAACTCATTTTCGACCGTTTTTTCGAAAAAATGGAAAGGCTAACCATCACGATTTTTTCCGATTTTGGCCGAAAAATTTTTTGTTCGATTTCGACGAAATTGGTATGCAGTTCGATAGACTTTGGGACGCTGATTCCGAAAATGCCAAGCGTTGCCAGATCGGACCACAAACAGCCGAGATATCAGCTATAGAATCTCTGTTTCTGGCCCGATCTGGCAACCCTGCACATTTTCGGAATCAGCGCTCGAACGTCCATCGAACTGCATACCACGTTTTTCGATATCGAACAACTCATTTTCGACCGTTTTTTCGAAAAAATGGAAAGGCTAACCATCACGATTTTTTCCGATTTTGGCCGAAAAATTTTTTGTTCGATTTCGACGAAATTGGTATGCATTTCGATAGACTTTGGTGCGCTGATTCCGAAAACCCACAAACTTTAAAAACAAAAAACCACTTCAAAATATTTCAACACATCGAAGCCGCTGATCCGAAAATGCTAAGCGTTGCCAGATCGGACCACAAACAGCCGAGATACGGGCTCTAGAAAGCTCAATTCTGGCCCGATCTGGCAACCCTGCACATTTTCGGAATCAGCGCTCGATTGTCCATCGAACTGCATACCACGTTTTTCGATATCGAACAACTCATTTTCGACCGTTTTTTCGAAAAAATGGAAAGGTTAACCATCACGATTTTTTCCGATTTTGGCCGAAAAATTTTTTGTTCGATTTCGACGAAATTGGTATGCAGTTCGATAGACTTTGGGACGCTGATTCCGAAAACGCCGGGCGTTGCCGGATCGGACCACAAATAGCCGAGATATGGGCTCTAGAACCTCTATTTTTGGTCCGATCTGGCAACCCTGCGCATTTTCGGAATCAGCGTTCGAACGTCCATCGAACTGCATACCACGTTTTTCGATATCGAACAACTCATTTTCGACCGTTTTTTCGAAAAAATGGAAAGGCTAACCATCACGATTTTTTCCGATTTTGGCCGAAAAATTTTTTGTTCGATTTCGACGAAATTGGTATGCAGTTCGATAGACTTTGGGACGCTGATTCCGAAAATGCTAAGCGTTGCCAGATCGGACCACAAATGGCCGAGATATGGGCTCTAGAAAGCTCAATTCTGGCCCGATCTGGCAACCCTGCACATTTTCGGAATCAGCGCTCGATTGCCCATCGAACTGCATACCACGTTTTTCGATATCGAACAACTCATTTTCGACCGTTTTTTCGAAAAAATGGAAAGGCTAACCATCACGATTTTTTCCGATTTTGGCCGAAAAATTTTTTGTTCGATTTCGACGAAATTGGTATGCAGTTCGATAGACTTTGGGGCGCTGATTTCGAAAACGCCGGGCGTTGCCGGATCGGACCACAAACAGCCGAGATACGGGCTTTAGAAAGCTCAATTCTGGCCCGATCTGGCAACCCTGCACATTTTCGGAATCAGCGCTCGATTGTCCATCGAACTGCATACCACGTTTTTCGATATCGAACAACTCATTTTCGACCGTTTTTTCGAAAAAATGGAAAGGCTAACCATCACGATTTTTTCCGATTTTGGCCGAAAAATTTTTTGTTCGATTTCGACGAAATTGGTATGCAGTTCGATAGACTTTGGGACGCTGATTCCGAAAATGCCAAGCGTTGCCAGATCGGACCACAAACAGCCGAGATATCAGCTATAGAATCTCTGTTTCTGGCCCGATCTGGCAACCCTGCACATTTTCGGAATCAGCGCTCGAACGTCCATCGAACTGCATACCACGTTTTTCGATATCGAACAACTCATTTTCGACCGTTTTTTCGAAAAAATGGAAAGGCTAACCATCACGATTTTTTCCGATTTTGGCCGAAAAATTTTTGTTCGATTTCGACGAAATTGGTATGCATTTCGATAGACTTTGGTGCGCTGATTCCGAAAATGCTAAGCGTTGCCAGATCGGACCACAAACAGCCGAGATACGGGCTCTAGAAAGCTCAATTCTGGCCCGATCTGGCAACCCTGCACATTTTCGGAATCAGCGCTCGATTGTCCATCGAACTGCATACCACGTTTTTCGATATCGAACAACTCATTTTCGACCGTTTTTTCGAAAAAATGGAAAGGTTAACCATCACGATTTTTTCCGATTTTGGCCGAAAAATTTTTGTTCGATTTCGACGAAATTGGTATGCAGTTCGATAGACTTTGGGACGCTGATTCCGAAAACGCCGGGCGTTGCCGGATCGGACCACAAATAGCCGAGATATGGGCTCTAGAACCTCTATTTTTGGTCCGATCTGGCAACCCTGCGCATTTTCGGAATCAGCGTTCGAACGTCCATCGAACTGCATACCACGTTTTTCGATATCGAACAACTCATTTTCGACCGTTTTTTCGAAAAAATGGAAAGGCTAACCATCACGATTTTTTCCGATTTTGGCCGAAAAATTTTTTGTTCGATTTCGACGAAATTGGTATGCATTTCGATAGACTTTGGTGCGCTGATTCCGAAAACGCCAAGCGTTGCCAGATCGGACCATAAACAGCCGAGATACGGGCTCTAGAAAGCTCAATTCTGGCCCGATCTGGCAACCCTGCACATTTTCGGAATCAGCGCTCGATTGTCCATCGAACTGCATACCACGTTTTTCGATATCGAACAACTCATTTTCGACCGTTTTTTCGAAAAAATGGAAAGGCTAACCATCACGATTTTTTCCGATTTTGGCCGAAAAATTTTTTGTTCGATTTCGACGAAATTGGTATGCAGTTCGATAGACTTTGGGACGCTGATTCCGAAAATGCTAAGCGTTGCCAGATCGGACCACAAATGGCCGAGATATGGGCTCTAGAAAGCTCAATTCTGGCCCGATCTGGCAACCCTGCACATTTTCGGAATCAGCGCTCGATTGCCCATCGAACTGCATACCACGTTTTTCGATATCGAACAACTCATTTTCGACCGTTTTTTCGAAAAAATGGAAAGGCTAACCATCACGATTTTTTCCGTTCGATAGACTTTGGGACGCTGATTCCGAAAATGCCAAGCGTTGCCAGATCGGACCACAAACAGCCGAGATATCAGCTATAGAATCTCTGTTTCTGGCCCGATCTGGCAACCCTGCACATTTTCGGAATCAGCGCTCGAACGTCCATCGAACTGCATACCACGTTTTTCGATATCGAACAACTCATTTTCGACCGTTTTTTCGAAAAAATGGAAAGGCTAACCATCACGATTTTTTCCGATTTTGGCCGAAAAATTTTTTGTTCGATTTCGACGAAATTGGTATGCAGTTCGATAGACTTTGGGACGCTGATTCCGAAAACGCCGGGCGTTGCCGGATCGGACCACAAATAGCCGAGATATGGGCTCTAGAACCTCTATTTTTGGTCCGATCTGGCAACCCTGCGCATTTTCGGAATCAGCGTTCGAACGTCCATCGAACTGCATACCACGTTTTTCGATATCGAACAACTCATTTTCGACCGTTTTTTCGAAAAAATGGAAAGGCTAACCATCACGATTTTTTCCGATTTTGGCCGAAAAATTTTTTGTTCGATTTCGACGAAATTGGTATGCATTTCGATAGACTTTGGTGCGCTGATTCCGAAAATGCTAAGCGTTGCCAGATCGGACCACAAACAGCCGAGATACGGGCTCTAGAAAGCTCAATTCTGGCCCGATCTGGCAACCCTGCACATTTTCGGAATCAGCGCTCGATTGTCCATCGAACTGCATACCACGTTTTTCGATATCGAACAACTCATTTTCGACCGTTTTTTCGAAAAAATGGAAAGGCTTATCTCGGCTGTTTGACGTTCGATCTGGCAACGCTTCCACCATTCTTCCAGCTTCAATATATTGGCTAATATATTACCCTTATTTTGTTATTAACAAATCGATTTTAAATTTTAAAATCAGACTCAATACAGGCACAGTGACACAATTATCTACAATTGAAATATTTAACAGAGTGGATCAACAATTACTTAAAGCTAAAAAGACGCGCAGGAGTATCGGGCAGAATCCTTGAATTGCACAAAGTAAGCTACAGCAGGGAGGATGTGAAGATCTGCTGCAGAATGTGAGGTAGCTTGGTAAGGTCCATGCAAACGAAGCTCTGACCTGCCGGCATGGACGCGTTTATCCTAAAATACAAAATATTTTTACATTTATTTGATAAAAAAAATAAGAAGCAGAATGCTCTCTGGTGTCTTAGATACTCACTCATCCGCCTCCTCTTCGAGACTGCCAATGAAGATCACATAACCCTTGACCTTGGGCTCGCCACGTTTCAGAGCAACGGCCAGATCCTTTGGAGCGATGCCATAACGGGAGAGATTCGCATCGCTTAGCACCACCACGATGGCGTTGTCGTAGTCCTGCTCCGCTCCCAGAGTGGAGCAGGCTTCGCGTGCCGCCTTCACTGTGGAATCGCCAGACCAGCAGAACTGCGAATGGGCGTGCATCATCCGGATGGCCTCAAAGCGTTCCTTGTCGTTTTTCGGCGGACTACCTGCCGTAACGAACGGAATCTCCCAGCCCTCTCCGCTGTGGCCAATCACATCGTAGACTATTTTCTTTTCAAAACCCTCGAAGGCTTCCATCACCATGACCACGGCCTCCAGCTGACGGTCCAGCCGTCCATCGTAGCCATTGAACCTGGTGGGATCAGTTGTAAGGGGCTTGTTTCTTGTGTTTTATGTCTACGAACTCACCTGTACATCGAACCGGAAACATCCACCACAAGCTTTAGCCTGTTTGGCTTTTCCTGGACATGATCCGCCCATGGATTCGCCTCCGCCCGTCGGCGGTATATGTTCTTCTCACCCGTAATGCCCTCCACGAGCCGCGTGTCATCCAGATCGCCGTGCGTCTGGTACTTTTGCCACAGGCGCTCCTTGCTCTTCGTCTGCATCGCTTCCAGCACCGCCTTCAGCTGCTGCACCTGCTTGCGATTCGGCTCGCTGAACTGGGCATACACCTTGTGGTCGTGGGCTGACATCTTGATCTCCTTGAGCTTCTCCTCGAACGCCTTGCGGTTCATTTCGCGGGCCGCCTTCTTAATCTCCTCTGGCACATCAGCCTTCTCCTCGTCGCTCAGCTGATGGACTTTATGGCCCTTGTCCAAACGAAAGGGACCTCCCTTGCCGCCCAACCCGGCTGTGTCGCGACCGCCGCTGCCCCCGGCCCAAGTGTTGCCGCCCACATGCGGTTCGTTTTTGGGGTCCAGCTTGCCGAATTTTGGTCCGGAAACGCCCAAGCCACTGTGCCTCTTTACGGATGCCTGCAGGACTTTTTGCTTGCGTATGGCCTGGATTTCCTCTTCGGCGTAGGACTCGATTCCGTGCTTGGCAAGGACCTGGTTGACCTGTTGGAGTGCCTCCGGCTGATAGCGGTCAAAGTCCAGCACGTTTCCGACCACCTCCGACATGTTCTCGTCCGGATAGCGCTCCAAATGCTTAACAATACTGACCACCTCACGGGTGGAGTATGGATAGTTCAACATACCCTCGTCCGCCAGTGTTCGCAGCTCCCCAAAGGCGTTCACCAGGGTCCTCAGCGTCTTGATGGGCACCTTCGGTCCGTACTGCTGGAGCAGGTAGATCTCTGAATCGGGATCCGGATTACTGATGGCATGGCAACTGAAGACATCGCCCAAGGCGGCAAAGAAGTCATTTCCCAGGAAGGGAAACCCAGGACGATTGGCCAATACAATGAGCCGGAAATCGGGATGGGTTTCAATGGAATTGGGCACTCGACCGCCAGCACCCGGCGGCACAATCCTTCTACCATCGGCCAGAACCATCTCGCCGCTCTCCACAAGGGTGCGCAGGATGCAGGTCACGTTCACGGGAGCCTTGTCCGCTTCGTCCACCACCAGGACATGACCGGAGCGCACCGCCTGGACCAGGGCGCTGTCTTCGTACGACACCTGACCGTCCTTCAGGGTGGCCTGGAGCGTCAAGCTGTGCACAGTTGTGTCCCGATGCAGCTGGATGTATTCTCGGGGTCGTTGCATCAACTCCAGCAGGCGATCCACCAGCTTATTCTTGCCCACACCCTGGTTTCCGACCAGGAGGAGATGCTCGCCAATAAGGTAGTCCTGCAGGAGGCGCTCCAGCAACTGCACATGCTGCGGCATCTCGTAGAACAAGGTGCTGGGAACTTTGGAGAGCTGTGCCTGGCTCGGGCTGCCCAGCGGCCAGCTGGTAGAGCCGATCCTCAGGGAGTTATCCTTAATCTCTATTTGGTCCTTGCTGCTCTTGAGCCTTTTTTCCGGTCTGGCCTGTATGCCCACCTGGTGGATGGCCTGTTCCAAGGCACTGCGCGACAGAGCCGGCATAAATCTGGCTAGGAATGTATTCTGCAGCATTTCGTGGACATCACTCAGTTCACTATTCGGGTAAGCAGCCAATCGGCGAGCCAATTTAAGCAGTTGCCTGGTGGATAAGGTACCAGCCAGTCCCTGAAGCAGAGGATCCTGCGAGGTACGCAGCAGTTGGGCCAGCTCCAGTAGTGGTTCCATGCCCGCGGGTAAGGCTCCTCCGCACAACTGGGTCAGCAGCTCCTGTTCCTCGCTCTGGCGCAGAGGACGCAGTTCCTGGTACAGAAACAGGCTGAGCAGCTCTGGAGTCAGCCAATTTGGTTGTCCGCTGCCCGGGCGTGGTGGTTCCGCTAAGGCCACAATGCGGAAGGACTCGTGCATGGGCAGGAAACCCATCTGGGTGAGCTGGTCCGCAGTTAGTCCTTGCTGGATAAGGGCCTGGTAGCGACTTGCACTCAGCAATGTGGTGCCATCGCACAGCTGCAGTTCCCGGTCATGAATGAGCCTGAAAGTAATGGATTGTGGAATGAAAACTGGCCAGGATAGGATATATTTCATGGACGCACCTTTGAAGCACACTGGCCGTGCTCTTGTGGAGGCGATGCAGTCCATTGAGCACCGCCACCGATCCGGTTTTGGCTGCTCTCACCAGAGGCGAGTCTCGCCAAATGGTGTCGCCCTGGGGACTGGTGATACGCTGCTGCACTAAATCCCGACTGGTCATGTCCTCGTAGAGCATCATGGGCTCCGATGTCTGCTGGAGCAGACGCAGGAGCTCCTTGGTGAGGGCCAGCTTGCCGACGCCCTTCTCGCCCAGCAGACAGACATCGCCCACGGCATAGGCCTGCAGCAGGCTCGCCAGGGCCTGTCGTTGATGCGGCAAGTCCACGAAATCGGTTGCCACAGGTGCGGATATCTTTCCGCCAGGTACATTTAGTTTCAGGCCATCCAGCTGGAGGAGTATGCTGCCAGGATTCTCTGTCGAGTTGCTACTGCTCGTAATACTCTTAATACTTTGGCTGGGAATCAGTTGAATTTCCAATTTCTTGAGCAGCTCCTCCACACGTTTGCGTTGATCGACCTTCAACATGGCCTGATACGGATATGTGCGACTTATCACGTCGTGGAGGCTAAGCAAGGGATTCGTTTCCTTCAAGGAAAGCAAAGGAAAGGTTTAGGATGTGAATAATCATACAATCATAAGCGACATCTTACCAGCATCTTGACTGCCAAACGGAGGTTATGTAGCGGAAAATCTGGCAGCTGCAAGACCGAATCCGCCTGCTGCAGCGTTAAGGCAAAGGTAAGCAATTGCTTGAGCTGCTCTTTGGGCACTAGGGGCGCCTGCTGATGCAGTTCCTCGAACAATTCGCCATAGGCATAGGAGGTTACGTTGCGCGATTGGAAACGCGAACGCAGCGGCGGATCTAAAGGCGTTCCCTTATACTTGTGGGTGGGCAGACCCAAGGCCACAACGCGGAACTGCTCGGAGACGCGCAGCAGGCCCCACTCGTCCAGCTGCTGGCGGGTGTGTTTCTATAAAGAATCATCACTATAAGAGATAGTCCAGGACTTCCGATAATTACTGAACTCACCTCCAAAAGCTTATCGTACCGCTCGGGGGCCATCAGGAACTTGCCGCTTTCCAAGTGCATTTCACGGTTCTCGAGCAGATTGTTTAAAATGGGTAGCACATTCCTCTCGGCGTGCTCCACGCCGTCCAGGACCAGAACACGACCGTTTAGGGCCGCCCGAACAGCTCCCTGATCGTGATAAACCGCCTCTCGGTTGTGGATTTCGCGTCGCTGCTTCAGGTCGCTCTCTGTGGTGTCCCGGCTGAGAGCCACATACTCCACCTCGCGCTGTGTAAGCTCCAGGAACTGCATGGCTAGCTGGCGACGGAGAGGTCCTGGAGGACCCAACAAAAACATGTCCTGCCGCAGGGCATCCTTTTGCAGCATCCAGCGCAGATGATGCAGGGCTGATTGAGTGAGCTGCAGAGTGCCATCCGGAGCGTAGTTGACTTTAATTAGCAAGATAAGTGTTTGATTAACCCATAAAGATAAGGAATCCAGATGAATCTCTGGGCTTGTGACCTTTGTACTGCCATGATCTAAGTTTACCCCCATTTTGGTTGTAAATACACTCACCGTATTGCTGCGGAACCAACTGGGGATGCTTCGGCTTGGTCAGGCGCACACTCACATCGCCGATTGTCAGGCTATCGTCCTGCGAGTCCTTTGCGCTTGCGGTACTGGCCCATTGGCGTCTCCAAAATCGGCCGCCTTGCAGGCTGTGACGCAACAGGTGGCCGCTGCCGCGTTGCAGGTTCGCCAACATTACTTATGGATGGGGGAGGGAGAGCACTTGCTTATTAACCGGATTGGGAGTTGTAACTCCGGTTAATTTGATTTAAATCACGGAATTACGGCGGCAGAATTCGCGTGTTATTATCACTAAAGTGCTGCCCATCAATAGCGACCGATTAATTGATAACAGCCTATCGATAACAACATATTACCAAAGTGCTGCCCATAAAAAAGTATTTGAACTATTTTGGTATTTTAATACTAAAGAAAGGTAGGAATTTCAATCCAGCTGTAACTGGTCACACTTAAAATAAGCAAGCCATCGAAATACGCAAAACTTACCGTTCATATTGATTTAAAAGGCTTAAATAGTTTAGAAAGCCACAAAAATGACCACAGCTGCTCGTCCTACCTTCGATCCTGCCCGCGGAGGGTCTGGACGTGGTGAAAAGGATCTAAGTGCCCTCAGCAAGCAATATTCCAGCCGCGACTTGCCAGGCCACACCAAACTAAAATACAGGTTCAACAAAGAAAACAAATCTCAAGTTTTTAAGTTAATTAACCAAACGATTTCACCTTTCAGAGAGGCTGGCCAGGGCACAAGCGAGGAGATCCGCAACCGTGACTTCCGCAAGGAGCTGGAGGAGCGCGAACGTGATGCTCGCTCGGGAGCTGCTGGTTCTGGCAAGGCGCTGCCCTCCATTGTGCGCAAGGCCATCGAGGCCAACAGCACCGCCTCCAGCGGCGGCAACAAGCGTGTCAAGTTAGATGCTGCCGCTCAGCAGGCCGCACAGCAACAACAGACTGTCAATTTGGATGCTGACGAGCCGCTGGACAACAACAGCTCCGACTCTGACAGCGACTCGGATGACGATGATGCGGTCCTGCTGGCCGAGCTGCACAAGATCAAACAGGAGCGCATGCAGGAGGCCGCGCGTCGTGAGGCGGAGAAAAAGCAGGAGGACGAACGCATTCGCATGGAGAACATTCTGTCCGGCAATCCGCTGATCAACTACGAGCCTGGCACAGCTGCTTCGGCTGCAGGACGTGCTTCTGGTCTTGGTGGCGATCTGAAGATCAAGCGGCGCTGGGACGATGATGTCGTCTTCAAGAACTGTGCCCGTTCGGCTCCCGAGAAGAAGACCCACTTTATCAACGATGCCCTGCGCTCCGAGTTCCACAAGAAGTTTATGGACAAGTACATTAAATAGTATCCATATATGTTTCAGATACGTTTTGTAATAGTCTAAGTAACCAAATTTTCAAACTTTTTTTTTCATCTGTAATTGCTAAATAAAAAATTGCATTTTATAAGCATATTTGTTAGTTTTTTTTTAATTAAAGGGTTTTTAGTTCTTTGCGGGGAGGTTTAGATTAGTCTAGAATAGAGGTGTGGTTTCTTAAACATTTAAGGATGTTTTTGGTTCCAATTTGATTGGAAAGTGGCTGGGATAATGGCTTAGAACCCTGTACAATGGTGGAATATGCCCCAAAGACCTGCTTCCATGGAGCATAACTTGGCCAATACTTGTCGGAGCCAGGAACCGCATACCTTCTTGATCTTATATCGTCTAGGACTATCATTTTTTATCAATATCCGGGAAACTAAAATCGGATCCGATTTTCGAAATTTTTCCAGGGGGTAACATCATGATTTTTTTTCGAAAGTTTGGTATGATTTTAGTTTTCCAGATTTTGTTGGGAAATAATAGTACTCGAAGCTACAAGATCGGAAAAGTATAACATTTTTAAATCGAACGAGTATTAGCCAAGTTATGACCATTGGAAGATGAAGTTTGGTCGCCTTTATTAAAAAAAAATACAAATTCTGAGAAACCAAAATTTCCTCAAGATTTATTTATGATTTTGGAGGTTTATCAGACAATTATTAATCAGAGATTCAAGAAGAATATTCAAGATGATGTCTTAAATGCCTTAAAAGAAAGTGAATAATGTGGCCTTAACCGGGCTAGACTTTCAAGGTCTAAGAAAAGGATTTTGGAATATAATTTAAAATATTTCTAAAAGGACAAAGCTCAGTCTACATGACTTCAAATATTTCCCAATCGCTTCTTTTAAAATAAGTTTTAAGTTTTAAGCCTTAACTTTAACCTTTTTTATTAGTTGGCTTTCTTAAAGCTTCTTGTTTTGGTTTAATGTTTGGCCATTGCCTACCTTTAGTAGGTAGTTGTCCCTTTTTAATTTTTGGTCTTCTCCAAAGATTAGCTGCTCTTCGTCGTGGGCTTTGACCCATTGACTGTGTTCTGACCGCGAGTGCGAGTCCGAGTGCGAAGGGCAGGCAACCTTAACCAAAGTGTGAAACCGCAAAAAACATCGGTAGCCGGCCAGGGGCGGCGACCGAAAGGGGTATAGAAGAAATGGCTGCCAGTGACTGGGCAGGACGGCGGGGGGACACTACTGGGGCTGGGGTTAAGGCTACGTGAGCGCACGAAGAAGCAGCCCCAATAATCATCATGTGGCAATGATCATCGCAAGGGCAATTGTCGCTGCTGATGAGGCACGAAGCAAAATCAATTTGCCCCAAAGGAGCTCGGAGCTCGAAGCTCAGAGCTCAGAGCCCAGGGCCCGGAGCCCGACCTGGCCAAGAAAGCGCAAAATAACTTGGTCAATTACGTCGACCCGGGGTTGTTGCTTGTTGCTTACTGCTTACTGTTTACTACTTGCAACATGGTGCCGCCTGTTTCGGTTTCTGTTTCTGTTGCAAATGCAAATCATCATTGGAGGAGAAGGAGGGCTCGATTTCCACGCCTCTTTAATGCCCCGCACGCGGCGGCCTGTTGCACCGAACTGAACTTCGACTTTGTCAATGAGTCCACGTTCTGACTTCCAACCTGAGCTTGAAGACCCTTCCCGATCGCGAGGCCTCCTCGTCCCAGGCAGTGCCGTCCCGCTTTCCCCCCCTCAAAAGTTGACGAACGCTCAATTTTACGCTAATTCGATCAGAATCAAAATCAAACAAAATTAGCCTGCCCATAGCGACCCGGCAAAGCGATGATGATACCTCCCTACACTGCAACAAGAGGGGTTTAACAAGAAAATTTTAATATTTTAGAGACCTAGATACTTCTAGTTGTTAAGAATGTTTTATACTCTTCCTATTTTATTTAACATTTATTTTAAAACTTTACTCAATTTTTTAAGAACAGTGTCTTGTGAATTGCCTGCCATTGACAATGATGATCAGAAAAGTATTGGTATGATGAGACCTGCTAATGATAATCATGGTGATTGTTGTTATTACGCTGCCTGCTTCTGCTTCTGTCTGTCAAAGACACTGAGAGAAAAGTTAAAACAAAATTTTAAGAGGTTTAAAATCCTTAGAAAACAACTAGACACTATCAGAGATTTTCAAGAAGGTCCAAGATTAAATATCTTTAGAATAGTTTGGTGTTTAAGATAATATTTTTGAGAAAATATTGAATTCTTTAGTTTTTATTTTATATTTAAATATAGTGAAGATTTATTGTTGGAACTAATATTGTTAAGAGGCTATTAAGCTCTTTAGTTTCTTGAAAATATGGGATTTTCAAAACGGGTTCGAAACTAGTCAGAAACTTTATTAGGAAATTTTCCTTTTTTTATTCCAAGAAATTATGCAAATTATATAGTGAGTCCAGTTTAGAGATTAAAAGTGAAGCTCAAAATTGAAATATTACAAAGTAATTAAATGGAGATCTTACTTTTTTAAATTAAATGTAGTTATTTGATTGATTTCAGAAGTTTTTAAGATTTTAAAACCATCAAGTGGGTTTTAAAAGTCTCGAAAGTAATTAAATCTTTAAAATATCCAAGTATGAAAGGTACTTCTTTGAAGAAAACTCCTCTAAATATTTACCAATTTAAAGGATTTATTTAAGTATCTATAGAATTTATTTCCAGTGCATTTATGATGTCTTATGCCTGCTGGCTGTCCTCCTACAGTGGCAGTGCTGAGGCATTACCGACTCTCTGACTTTGAGCGAACATAATTTATTTCCTGTTCGACATAATGCAGTCACCCTCGTATCCCTCGGATACCCCACTTCCCAAACTCCATTCCAACTCCATTTCCATTATTTGTGCATTCATCAGAAGGGGCTTGAAGAGGGCAGGGCAGGAAGGGCAGTGTTGCCCGGCAATCTGCCGTCAAAAGACTTGAATCTTGAACCATGTTGCACTTTTCGGTAGTCGCCGCGCGCTAAATTGTGGCCACCGAACGAGTGGGGCAAGTCTGAAACCTGGTCTGTACCACCACCAGCACCACTACTACTGCCACTGCCACTGCCACTGCCATGGCCTATCAATTGTCAGCAATTTTGCAACTGCATAAACTTGAAAAGAGCACAAAGCGAAAAAATCGGGGGGGGGAGGGCGAAAAAAAAAAAGAAAAATGCATACCAAACTGCATAAATATGGCGGCTGGACGACGGAAATGGCCGTCGCGGTTGCAAGTGACAAATAGCCGGCTGGCAGAGGGCTAAAGGGGCGGCTAGATGGAGGGGCGTGGGCCACGGGGGCACAGGAACCCAAAGGGGGGATCAGTGGACCAGTTGACCACCAAATAAAGACCGCGAACATATGTTTCTGGCTGGCATGCCTCAATGGAGAGACACGAACCCAGCCATTATAGACTCCATTTGACCCCGAAAATTTTACAAAAAAAAAGCATTAAGAGAAAACATGGTAGTCTTTAAAAATAATAAATAAAAAAAAATATTTAATAATTAGAGGTTGTAGAATAAAAAATTTCATAGAATAAAAATTGTAGAATAAAATTTGTAGAATAAAAAATAAATACTCACAGATATTAATAATAATATTAGTTATTGTATAATAAAAATATTTAAATTTATATAATTAAAGCATTGATTCATATTTAATAAATTAAAAATCAAAAATTGGAATATAATAATTTTAAAATCTAACTAATTCCATCAGTTTTTTAATAAAAACCTTATCATATTTCCTTGTTAAATATTTAATTGTTTGCCTATAAACCCAATATATACTTTAAAATCCCTTACAACTACATCTGCCACATTGGCAGACTGTTGCAACATCAATTGGCTGTGCAACAAGCCACACAACCCGAGGTGGCGACACTTTATTTAGCTTTAAAATTTTATAGAATGCAAATTTCACTCAGCTGTTGCTCAGCCTTCGGTCGGGTGTCGAGTCCTGGGACTTTTAAGGGGGGCAGGACACCCCAGAGAGGAGTTGCAACTGCAACTGATGCTGCATAATTTAGTTGACCAATTTACACTGGAATTGAGGGCCTTTCTGAGTGCAACCGGAAATGCAGGACAGGACAGGGCTGGGCTGGACTGGACTGGACACCAAAAAAGCCAAAGCATTTTTGTGGCCATAACCACTTTTATTTTTTAACACATTTTTTGTTGTGTTTTTATTAATTTTTTTTTGTGCTTGGTTTTGGCCAGGCCTGCACTTGACATATTTACTCGCCATGGTCGTTTGTAAGTTGGCTCTGGAAGGGTCAGAGGAACCAAAGTAAAGGTTCAAGGGAAGCCCCCTACATATGTCTGTTAACCCTAATGATTCACCGAACTTTGACTTGCAACAGGAACAAACTTAAAAATTTAACCTTTAGCCGAAACTAATTTCAAATGGCAGCTAATGGGATTAAAAACAAATTTCACCTACGCACAGGTCTCGCGGGAATTTCATGGTCATTGCATTCGATTAAATGGCTAATAATGTAAAGGCACTGCGAGAAATATTTAAAAAAAATCTAGGGCAGAGGAAAATTAATTTAAAAAATTTAAGAAAATAAAAAAGAAACTAAAATAATTACAAAAGTGAATAAAAATTGATCTAAAATTAAGGGAATTTAGTTCTTAGGAGGAATGTTGGATAAAGAATAATATTTCTTTCATTTTAAAATTGAAAAATATAGGTTTAAAAATTATTAAAAATTTTAAATACTAAATAAGCTAAAATATACCTATTTTTTATAATAATTAAATGATTCTATTAACAGTATTTCAAAGTATATGCCAATATACTCAATAACTAGCCCCAATTATACACTCAAGTATCAATAACTATTTCCAAGCTCCTTATTCTTCTTCCTTATTATTCTAAGAACTCCCTATTTTTTTCTCAGTGCATCTACCAGTTCAACGGACGTGTGGCAGACGCATATTTCCGCAGACAACTGGCAGAATGGACAAAATCAAAATCAAAACTCAAAACTGAAAGTCGAAAATGGAAAATCCGGAAAAGCAGAGCCACATGGACGCGTCCACTGACTGGACGGCAGGCAGGATAATGCAACTGGCTTGAGTAGATGGAGCAACA